GACCCACAGCGCCCCCAGAGGACAGAGTGGAACTGCCCCACAGGGTCTCCAAGGCTGTCAATCTTCACAGAAGCAAAGCCCAAACCACACCCACTGCCCTGGAGTCTATTCTGACCCACAGCGCCCCTAGAGGACAGAGTGGAACTGCCCACAGGGTCTCCAAAACTGTCAATCTTTACAAAGACGGCTGGCATATCCTTCTTCTACAGAGAAGCTGGTGGGTTCGAACTGCCAACCTTTGGTTCGCAGCCGAGTGCTTTACCCAGTGTGCCACCAGGGTTCCCTGTTGTGATGTGTAGAGCCTACGATTAAGCAGAGAGTGCAGATGGGGCCCATCATTATAAAGAAGGGAGCTGCCCGGGTTCTAGCAGGAAAGGGAGAAGCCGGTGAGAGGAGTGGGCGAGGGCCAGTGGGGGTGGGACAAAAGAGGGAAGGTGCCCACCTGACCCTGTTCTCCAAGAGCTTGCATCTTCTCACACTGCTTCCCCCACGTCTACTGCCAGCGTCTCGCTTTCAGACAATAGTACCGTATTTTTTTCACGCATAGCAAGCCACATAACTGATGCACACGCACACGGCAAGCAGAGTGCATGTAAGAAACTAACAAAAACCTGCACATCACACCCATTATTTGCATAAAATGTGGTAACAGGCACCCTTCTGGAGATGCAAGCTCCCCCTGCTCCTCCCCACCCACCCCCACTGCCAGCTTTGCTTCTGCCCCAATTCAGGCAGCAGACTCCCCGAGCTGCCCACAGGGAGCTTCTGGAACACTATCCGACGCAGGGGCATACAGTCCCATGGGTTTTCCTGACAGAAACACGCAGCTCACTTTGCACACGACCTCCCCACGCGTGCCGCACTTGTTTCGTGCAGTAACAGTGGCACATTATCATTCTGTTATTTCTCCTATTAGATGACCTCTAGAAGGGGGGGCTGCAGTTGGTTCCCATCCCCCAGCAGTGCTTCTGGACCCAACACAGAACTAGCTGAGGCTAAGGGCCGGCACGGAGGCCGTTAGGATGACCACCAGCTGACCCACTCCACCAACCCCCTCCTGCTGCTGTCTGCAAACAGGACAGGTCGCTTCGTATTTGATTCAGATGAGTGGCCATGTTGGCCTGTTCTATTGATGACCAAGGGCCACCGTGGGGCCGATGCTGCCACACTGGCCTTCCCAGCGGGCACTACATTTGGGACTTCTTGGAGCCCGACGCAGCCTTGGCTCGCTGGGACATCCTCCTTATGACCTTGTCCACCAAGCTCCTGGCTCCGGACCTGGTCATCCAGTGAATGAGGAACATGCGCCGCTCACTCTGTTTGCGGTTCAGCCGGCGGGCGACGGAGATGGGGGTCTCCCCCTTGGCGTCTTTGTCGTTGATGGAGGCGCCGTACTCTAGCAGGAGGCTGATGCAGTCCACCCGGCCCATGGCGGCAGCCACATGCAGGGCGGTCCTGCCCACAGGTGACTTGCTCAGACAGTTGGCACCTGTAAGACCAGAAAGCTGGCTGAGGGAGGGGCCCTCCTGTGAAGGAACCCGCCTTCGAGAAGCCCAAGGGAACCGAGGGTGTGGAGGGAATGTCGGGGGGACGGAAACCTCACCCCGCCTGGAGGACCCAACTCCTAGGGGACGCTGAGCTTCGGTTCTGCACAGGGGGTAATTTGGGCACAATGATGGTTGGGCGACATGATGGATGTACTGAGCCCACGGAATTGTAATGTGAAGACGGTGGAGACATCAACTGGTCTCTGACACATGTATTTACCATGGTTAAACAAACAAACAAAAAAAACACACAACTATCCCTGCCTGGTTGCACAGTGGTGAAGTGCTCAGATGCTAACCAAAAGATCAGATGCTAACCAAAAGGTCACAGGTTCGAACCCACAGCTGCTGTGTGGGAGAAAGATGTGGCAGCTGGCTTCATAAAAATGACAGCCTTGGAAACCCAATGGGGCAGTTCCACTCTGTCCTCTAGGGGCGCTGTGGGTTGGAATCAACTCCACGGCAGTGGTTGTGGTGGGGGCTTTGCTTCCATGAAGACTGACAGCCTTGGAAACCCTGTGGTGCAGTTCTACTCTGTCCTCTAGGGGCGCTGTGGGTCAGAATGGACTCCACGGCAGTGCGTGTGGTTTGGGCTTGGTTCTGTGAAGATTGACAGCCTTGGAGACCCTGTGGGCAGTTCCACTCTGCCCTCTAGGGGCGCTGTGGGTCAGAATGGACTCCAGGCAGTGGGTGTGGTTTGGGCTTTGCTTCTGTGAAGACTGACAGCCTTGGAGACCCTGTGGGCAG